AGCTCTGTGCATTGCAAAGAGAATGGGTAAATGGAGGACAGGCGACAGCGTAGGAAGTGAGATGAGAAAGCAGACAATACAAGGAAGATAAAAAAAGTGACACATGGGTTGTTCATGGGTTTATCTGAGCAGTGCAGGTGGGAGGGGATAAGCAGCAAGGTGGGAGGCTTGGAAGAGAGCAAGGCAGAAAGCAGACAAGACATGGAAAGGAAGATCAGAAAGTGACATGAGGGTTGTTCGTGGGCGCATCTGGGTGGGGTGGAGGTGATTTTTTAGGCGGCTCAGAAATTATATTTGGGAAGTGGAGGTGGTGGGAGTGGATAAGCTAGCTGCACTGCACAGGATTGGAAGAGAGCCAGGAACAAAGCAGAGCAGGCAGATATCCCTCTCCCTCTTACATGTGCACTGCCTGTTCATCATTTTGACTGGCACACTGACTTTCCTCCCACCCACGTGCACTGGGCATTAGCAGAGCAGACAGGCTTGCACTTGGCTGGCGTTGACGGGAGGTGGGGGGTGCAGGAGAGGGGAGAGAGCATTTGAAACCTTTCTTGAACTGACGTACTGCCTCTCCTCCCACCCACATGCACTGAATATTAGCAGGGCAGGCAGGCCTGAACTTGGCTGGCGTTGACGGGAAGGTGGGCGTGGGGGAGAAGGGAGGGAGCATGAGGCTGAGTCGACAGTAGGTGTGGAAAACGAGAGCGAGTGGGTAGCACCGGAAGATGGCTTTTCCGATTGCATGCAAGAACAGTTGTGAAGCTGGTGTTTTATTGTTGGCAAAGGCAAACCTACAACCTACAATAGACGAGCAAGGCACGTACGAGGAGGAGCATGCATGCAACAAACAGCAAGGCACCTACGAGGAGGAGCAGCGCGGCAGGTCTTCTTGGCGGCGTTGAACACGAAGCCATCGGGGCACTGGCACTGCTGCTTGCCGTCCTTCACAACGCACTCAGCAGCTCCACAATCCATGTGGCACGTGGCTGTTGTGGGCGGCACAGAGGGACAAACGAACCAGATATATAGAGGAAAGCGGTAAGAACAAAGCCTTTCAGGCATAGGGAGGCAAAGAAAAGAATCATGTTTGAAGCTGAGAGGTGGATGGACAAAGAGGTGCTTGATGGGTGCGTCTCGCACTATCTTATCGTACCTATAAGAATAAGCAGATCACATTCTACCGTCTGTTATGCACAAGATAAGAGCGAAGAAAAGAATCGTGGACAAAGAGGTTGGGTGCGTCTCGCTCTATCTTATGGTTGCTTGTCAGAAAAAAGCAAAACACATGCTACTGTGCAAGTAGATCTTCTCTAGTATGCATGTGACACAGTTTAGGTATGCATACGCTCACACTTACTGATCTTGCAGCCAACTGATTGCACCAAATTGACATGTTTGAAATTCCTGAGAGAGGGAGAGGTAGGCATGGGGAAGACACACATTGAGGGCGAGTTCTGGCATTCACCGGACGCTACAACATGTTGGAAGAGCAGCAACAAACCACACATGCCACGTGCATCATGCTCACACACTTTTTCGTGATGGGGTAGGCAGTGGTACGGCCGCGCTTCACAGGACGTGGGCGCGAGAGTGTCAGCGCCAGCTCCTCCTGGCACTGCAGGCCCGAGTAGAAGGACAGGCTCTTGCACATGGCGGCACCAGCCGCAGTCCCTTCAGGCGAGGTTGGGTTTGAGGCATTCCACAGGACGGTGATGTCAAGGGGGCCGTAGAACTCACGGCCCACGTTGCTGCACGCCGTGGTGCCGCTGGCCTGCTGCTCTGCTGGCCCGTCCGTGGAGAAAGTGAGGTTCTCCATGACCAAGCTGAAGATGCTTTCGATCTGCACCGTCGTCCGCACCAACGGGGCTGGGCAGGGGGAAGGAGAGGAAGAGGGCAAATGCAGGAGAAGGTGCGAGAAAAGGGGAGAAGGTGAGGTTTATGAGCGGGCTGAGGAGGCCTTTGATCTGCACCGTCGTCCGCACCGCACCAACGGGGCTGAGTGAGTGAGCATCCATTGAGACGGTGGGACGATGCTTTGGGCGACGATGTTGGATCATGGCTGTTAAAGGTTGTGCGATGAACGGTGGGGGTTTGAAGGCGTCGAGTTGGAGGCAGGGCAGGGGAAAGGGGGGGGAGGGGGCGGACAGGGGGGAAGGTGCGGAAGGAGTGAAGAGGGGTCAACGTTCCAAGCGCTGCCTCTACAGCAGCTCGTCCCAGTGCTGCCTAATGCGGAACTGCTGAAATGCTGATGTGTCTTAAGAAATAAATCGCCCACAGCTCACCAGTGCAGTACTCACGAGTGCAGCACTCACCATAGCACGTCTTGTCAGATTGGGCGAAGGTAAGACCTTTACTGTTGCACACACACGGAGGAGTGAGATCACCAGTGGCAATGCACGAAGCCTGTAACCCACACTCCCGGCTGATACACGCGTCTGCAAAGGAAGTCGAGTAGTGAAGTAGTGATACACGCGTCTACAAAGGGTGGTTTCGGGGTGAAGAAGTGAAAGTGGGTTGGACGAGTGGAACTGCGAACTGTGAACGTGCACACTCGCCCACACATGCACACTCGCCCACACATGCACACTCGCACTCACAAGCACACTCACCCACACGCGCACTCTCACCATAACACGTCTTGTTGTCGTTATTGAATACAAGAGCAATATCATTGCAGAGGCATTCGGCAATGCCAAAGAAATCACTGCAGAAAGCATCCTTCCCGCAGTCATAGTTGACACACGAATCTGCTCAGTAATGGAGGAATGTGTCAACCAGGGGCACGAGACGAGACGCACACACCAGCACAGAGACTGCTTTTTAGTCGACTCAAAAGCAAATGGAGGAATGTTCAAGCACGGGCACGAGACGCAGACACCAGCACAGAGGCAACGTAGGGAAGTGAGCCAAAACAAGATACATTCTGCTTGTATTGTGCACTCGCCCACTCCAGTGGCGCAAGTCCACTGCCAGTGGTGGGTGGCAGTCAGCCCACTGCCAGTGGTGGGTGGCAGTCTGCCCACTGCCAGTGGTGGGTGGCAACCAGCCCACTCACCAGCGCTGCCGTGGGTCGCGAGGAAGCTTTTGGCAACGAGCTGGCTTGAGTCGCGAGTTTTGAGGCAATTTTAGAGGCGCCTCAACAATAGCAAGAGTAAACACCACGGTCAGTAGCACTCACAAGCAGGAGGTGCGGCGCTGGCGTGGGTCGTGAGGAAGCTGATGGCCACGAGACCTGCGACGACGAGTGCGGCGAGGCCACATAGGCCGGACAGACCAGACACGCCGCACCGCGCGTAGTGCCGCTCCATGACGGCAACAGCAGACGACGTGGAGGAAACGGGGAGATGACGGTAAACCGTTGGCAGAGCTGAACCTCCGGCGAGATTCACGTGGTTCGTAGTCGTGACGAGGTGAGATTGGGTGGGACGTCGTACTCGTGAAGGGAGGAGACGAGACGGAGAGGCATGCAGTGGGCGAGGCGAGCAGCGGTGTGCGAATGTGATTGAGGCCTTGGCAGCGGGCGATTGGAAGCGGGCGTGAATTTATGTTGAGAGTGAGAAGAGAGGGCGAACACGACAGGGGGAGGCGCAGCAGGGGACGCGCGGAAGGGAGGGAGGGGGATGCACGCAACGACGAGGCTCGGAAATGCGCATTGCGCTGCGGCGACTGCGATGGGGTTGCGAAGGAGAGCCATTGTAACCCCATGGGGTGATTCTAGTCATATCGGCCAAGGGGGGAAGAGGAAGGAAAGCGAATGGATGGACCGGGGGCAGCGACGACGGGAGGTACTCGTCGGGGAGGGGAGGGCGCGGAGAGAGCATTATTGGGGCGCCTCGAGGCGGCGGCGATGACCGGACGGGAGGAAAGCATTGGGGAGGGCGCTCAGGGTCCAGCTAGGCGAACGCAGTAGTTTCAGTTGGACGAGGCGGCGGCGATGACGGGAGGAACTCGTCGCCAGCGCGGCTACAACTGGGCGAATGCGTTAAAGTGGTTCGTTTTAATTGGAAGAGGCCGGATTCGAACTCCGAGACGAGGTGGTAGACAAAAAAGGTTCCGCTTCTAGTAGTTCCTGTAGCGCGCTCGAGCACAGCAGGTAAGGAGATGAGAGACCTGCGGGACTTGCGGGAGTGAATTATTGGTGGTGTTCGACAAGCACATGATTCCGTCACGATTATTGGTGGTGGGGAGGGGTTGAAGGTTGTATATTGATCGTAATCAGATACAGACTGGTTCATCTCAACGGGAGGGTTGGGATGAAGGGGAAACGCCTGGCCCCCCTTGGGACCAACGACGCCCAGCGACGGAATGGATTGCAAACTGCTGCTCGAAATGCAGGGGCCAGCGACGCCAGCGACGGATGCAAAATCCGTTGAGACAAACCCGAGAGTACATCTCAACGGGTTTAGGGTTTTACAACATTTGGAAGAGGCGAACGCGCGAAAGTCAACGAGCAACGTCGTGGCGACGTGTGTACACTCCGCGCCAAACAAGGTTACGCGGCACCACTGCATGCGAAGGGTTGAACTCGCTCTGCCTGCGCGACATGTGTTCGGGAACGCTGGTGGCCGGCCAATGGCTGCGAAGGTGTTACAATGACCACGGTGGCCTTGTTTGATTGGACGACCGTGTCGCGCGCACGTATCATCGTTGATGGCTCGGCACCCGCACGCCGAGCCATCAAAAACACGGGGAGAAGCTGTGCATGCTTTGCCGACGCGTGGACGTGTCACAAATCTGGGCTGCGCATGCACGAGGTCGTGGCTCGGCCGAGCCATCACCGGCAGTAGGACAGCCAAGAGCTCCACGCGTAGGAGTTCCCAACCATAGGGTCTGAGGGGAGGTGGTCATTCTTTCATTTCTTCCACTTCGTGTGTGAAACCCTAGGACGCCACAACAATCTCTCTTCCCCCATCCCCCAGGCCCCCTCACCTCTTCCTTAGACGCCAGAAACGATAGGCTCGCTCAGCTTATGCGGATGGTGTGATAGCTTACCGACCACCATGTCGACACCCTCTGCAGAGGACACCACACGCTCATCCCATACACCACCCGCGGAGGGAACCGTAGATGATGTACAAGGACCGGCAACTCCTAGTCCACCTGCAGAAGCAGCTACTGTTGCACCGAGTACATCGCGCGCACGAGCGGCACAACCTCGGAAAAGGCATACAGATGCCACACCAGTATCCGCAACCCCTGCAGCTCCGAGTCCGCATGCAGAAGTAGCCGATGTTGCGCCGCGCACATCACGCGCACGACCGGGACCACCTCAGAGAAGGTCTAAAGATGTCGCACCAGGACCCGCAACTCCTGCACCTCCGAGTTCCCCTGCCGAACAAGCCGCAACTACGAGGTCCCCTGCAGAGGCAGACGATGATGCACCCGATCTCGACAACGTGGTTATACCGGATTTGGGCAAGAAAATTCCAGAGCCACCAGGTATAGAGGTAGAGGACGTAGACAGTGACGATGAGAAATCCGACTCTGGGGACGAGGATTCAGATGATGACGAAGTTGCGAGACCGGCAGAACCTCTCACGGAGCTCGAAGAACAGTACATAGAGGACGAAAGTTCGCTTCGGGAGATGGAGGAAATCGAGGCCATGCGCATCCCACTCGAGGCGTTTGACGAACCAGCGGTGGACATCACCGACATGATGTCCAACACGTCCAAGAGGGCGAGAGAAGATGAGTCGGCCAAGATGTTCGCTAATCTTCAACAAGACACCACTTACATGGCATACGTGAATGCCGATAGGGAGTACAAAGAGTGGTGCTGCGCGTTCCTCAAGACGGAGCTAACGGAAGGATTCCCACCCGATGCACATTTGCTTGACCAAGACGAGGTTGGCACCTTTCTTGGAAGGGGGAAGGGAAAAGATTGGAGGACGGCGGAACCAGACAAGCCGTGGTTACATGGCCCGCGCACGACCCCGTTGCGCGTGGAAACGTTCCTTCGATGGAAATCTGATCTGACCGTGGCAAAAGCGGCAGAGTTTCAGCGGAAGAAGGAGAAGGAAAGGGAGCCTTCGCAGAAGAAACGTACGCAAAAGCTACGCGACTGCACGGTCAACGTGTACGTGATGTCGGTGAAAGCGCTGTCTCACCTGTGCAAAGTGGAGGGTGTGCTGTTTGGAGAGAAGGCCCTGCACATCATTCGCGACATCGCGTCCGTGAGCACGGAGCTCAAGTTCAAGGTCCGCAACAAATGGCTCAAAAACCACAAGTGAGTACGGAAACAGTGCTTTTCATTATGCATGAGGTGCTAAAGAGAAGTTCCCTCAGCACTACAACTGTTTGCAACCTTGCCGCAGGGAGTGCGTGGACCGACACCGCGGAAGTTTCAGCGACACGTACTCTGAGAAGGATATACGCAGAATCATGCGGAAGGTTCTTCCCGTCTGGGCTGGAGAGGCGTGGAGAAAGTGTCGCAAAGCTGTGTCGCAGAAGCTGTGGAAAATCCTCCTCATGAAAGTGATGACGCTGCTCGGCCACCACACGCTTCTTCGAGGAGGCAGCTTACGAAGCATTGAACTTCCAGACATCTACATGCACAAGTTGGGCAGCACCTCCCGCAAAGACCCAACGCGCAAGGCAACCATCATGGTCGTGTCGTCGCGGCACTCCAAGACCAACAAGGAGGGATATACTGAGCAATCTTACGCAGCACGGCACGAAGACCACGAGATGTGCGCGGTGGGAAACCTCATGCTTTACCTGCACTTCGCGTACGACCTTGCCAAGGAAGCTTTCGGACAACCAGTTGTCCTTCCACTGGACTTCAGCGGTGTCACGAAATGGTACCACAAGCATTTGTTCTTCCCCGTACGCAGCAAGAAGCAAGGTCCGGTCCCTGCGTCAACTCATTTGCGCTTCACAAAGGAGATGTGGAGCACGAACGGGGTAACCATGAGACGGGTCGTCCACGCAACTCGTGCGGGGGGAGCACAAGAGCTGGCACTGAAGGGTGTGCCGCAGGCCGAAATCGCCTCGATGGGGCACTGGTCCATCGACAAGATGAACAGGTGCTACCCCACGTCGATCCCGCGCATGGCTGTTTTGGTGAAAGCTGGTTTCACCGGCTCCAAAGGCGACTACTTCTTGGGCAGAGACTCCGTTCCCATGAAGGCTGCGGTGAAGGAGTTGGTCAAGAAGCACATTTTCCCGTGGATCGAGGAGCAGGAAGCAGCGGTGAGTGGCTAGCCTAAGTCGTGCGTAGGTTCCATCCATCTGCGCAGTTCATCCATTTTGTTGAATTATCCTCCGCGTACCCTTCTCAGGCATCCGCGTACAACAAGGTCAAGGGTCAGGAGGACAGTGCTGGACCTCACTTCCTGCGAACTCTGAGGAAGTTAGGCCGCAAAATCGTGGCTCAGGACCTGGCGATGATGCTATACAAGACACCGTACCACCCGTACGTACAAGCGTCATCGCTGTGCCGTAACAGCGAGTTCCGCAAATGGGCGCACGACGTGTTCCACACCCAGGAGAAGGCCTCGAAGGAGAGGAGAAATCCCACCGAGACAACAGAGGCGGTACGTCATGATCACCTCGTGTGAGCGTTTCAAATTGTGCGACTGTACAGAACCATCCGCACGTTCTCACGCTGCGAACTCTCAACGACCTGATTGTGCAGGAGTTTTCGGCCCGACATGACGCCGAGCAGACCATCATGTGTCTGCGGTCACAGCAGGATCACCAGCTTATCAGGGCGGCTGCGGAGGCCAACAAGGCATCTCGGACCATCCGCAAGCTGGAAGAAGACAACAAGGCGAAGGAGGACCTCCTCCTGCAAAAGGATGCTGTCATCGCGGAAAAGGACACAGTCATCGCGGAAAAGGACGCTGAAATCGCACGCCTGTGTGCGTTACTAGAACAGCGTGCGGCAGGAACATGCCCGCCCGCGGATGTCTCCGGCCAGTCACCCCCGCCTGTCCAAGGGGCCCCAAAGGTGGAACCCCAGCAGCCCGCTGACGCTGCGTACGAGAAGGATGTCGTGGCTCCATGGAGGAAGTGTCAATCCGTGGAGCATGCATGGGTGCTGTGGAACCTCCAAGGACGCGGCGACCAAAGACGCCTTCGAGACCGCTATGGGAAAGACCCCTGCTTCGTCAAACGCCACTCCTACGACGGTGGCTCCAAAAGCGTGGGCGGGATTACTGCACAAATGCGGCGCGTAAAGAGGGTGATGGACGCGGTGGAGGCCCTTGGGGAAACCACGCAGGTCAAGCAGAAGCTGGAGTCCATTCTCGGGCGAACCGGGGGGTGGAGCACGTTCGCAGACGGCATCGGCGTGGTCAAGATGCCCGGGAAGGTCGAGCCAGATGGGGACGATGGACTGGAGGCATTCACGTCAACGCAACATGACCAGCTGAAGGTTGCGCGGATGCTCGTTGAGTCGGAGCTGCGGACGGAGGACTGGCTAAAGAAAAAGTTCCCTACAACGTGGCACAAGTCCCCTGCCCCCAAGCCCCAGAAGCCAAAGGCGCCTGCAAAAAAGCGCCAAAAGGTTGCTAACACGTGATAACTGTTGTACTTGCGCATGGTTGTTTACAACGTGCGCATGTTTGGAAACTTCTTGTACATATACTTTGTACATAAACAATGTGATGCATGACTGCGAACACTGTGTCGTACGTACGGAACATCTTTCACGAGGCCTACCCAAAGGAACCAATGTTTTCACACACAGAAAGGTACACGCAATCACATGCAAGGTCTACTGCACACGAAAACTACTGCACTAATGATCATTCCTCGGCACGATCAATCCTAGGCACATCATCATCATCAGATGCAAGAGCTGGCATGGAATCAGGGGTAGAGACCTCCGAAGTGGCCACACCGTTTCCCTGAGATTGGTCAACCTCCGGCATGGCATCCTCTGAAGTGGCCGCACCGTTGCCCTCCTGACCGGGATGACCACTGACCGGGATCGCATAGCAAACGTTATACGCCTCGTGGGAAAGGAGTCCTTGGGCGAAATGTGCTATGGACGCACGAATGGCACTTAAACCATCCGCATCCCCTGACGGATACGTTTCCCCGCGGCGGCGTCGATCAACGAAGCCTTCCGTATCCATCAGCAGATCTTGCAGGAAACGAACGCACCAAAGGCCAGAAACAGGGCTCCACAAGGACGGCTCCTCCCCCTCATGGAAAACATTACCACAAACATGCATGTATCGCATACGGTCTTCAAGCACGTCGTGCGATGGGCGCGGGTTCGGCGCGAGGAGCAGCTCAAAACGTGCCGCCCTAAGAAACCATCTGCAACAAATGCAGGCATCATTAACTGCGTTAATTGAAGCACTTCCGGAAGGAAAACTCCTCATCTGCAAGCTCACCGTAGTATCCACCCCCACATCGGGCCCACCACTGAGCCGCGATGCAGCGTGCGAATGGGCTTGGGGTCTAAGAAGAAGCTGTGGACACGCGCTTCCTCTCCCTCCGGTTTCAACAAATCACGCGGACGAGTAACGACAAAAATCGCGCACAGAGGCGGCTCACCATCGTCACGCCATCTGCATACGACAACGGAAACCTAAATATGGGTATGTAGAGCCTTGGACAGCCTTCGCAAGTGTTCTGATACAAAACAGGCCACTTACTCGTTCCACACGGGGACGACAACTGCGTCGAAATCGAGAACGTGCACAGCAGGGCCTAAACCCTCTGGACCGATTTCCGCGGCCTCGGCAGACGTCAGAACGCGCACGTTACGAACGTGATTACTCTCACACGCCCATCTGCATAAGGCAAGCGTCATTGTCACACACGTCGCAGAACGTACTAGTGCGCAAACGAGACGTACGTACATCAGGCCTATCTCGAGGGAAACCTCGCTGAGCTCCTGCGTAGGATCCATCATCCGCCTAACTTCGTCAGCCGTGAGGAGGTGCTGACTGCCAGTGTGGGTCTCCACTATCACACGCCGAGAAGCCATCACCAAGTGAGCAAAATAGGGTGGTGGCAGAAGTCCGAGGTGGAAAATGAGAAATTACGAGTGTCTGCTGGGCCTATTTATACCCATACGGCTACCAGAGGCGGTAAGGCGGGCAGCAATAATTTCGCGGTGCCACGTGTAACGAGGACAAGAACATGCATTTTCCATCGAAGTAATTACACGCGCAGGAACAACATCACAAAAAAAAAAAAGGACAAGTGGTTCAAAGTCATGGGTTACTACGGAATTAAATCCTGGGTAAATTCTAACAACAACCACTGCACCCCACTGCCAACCCAAAGAACATGCGCATGACTAAAACAAAGATGAATCCACATCCGCAGAGGTAGACAAAACCGTGCACATCCGCAGAACCACGTTCGCAACCCCCTAATGCACCTCCCCCCTCAGCGTGTGGTTGACAATCAGTGCTGCTGGCCCACGCGACCACCTCCCTGCTGCTGGCCCGCGCGACCACCGCGTGCGCGAGTTCGGGTCGGCGCAGATCCGGGAATCTCCCACTTGTTGAACCTGTAGCTGCGCTTGTTCCTGTACACGGTGAGCTTCGTCATGACCTCCGAAAGTGGAACCACCATGCCGACTGCCTGCATGGAATCACGTCCGTCCGGGCAGTCAGCCCAGTAGGCCAAGGTGTGCAGAAGTTCACTCGCGATGAACTTCCCCCAGGGATCCTGCGACATGTTCGCCGCCGTCAGAGCCTGCGTAGTGCCCTGATTGACGAAGGTTGTCCCATTCGCAAGCGCACCTTCCTCTTCGCCCGCGAGCTTCACAGCATGCATGACCGCCTCCATGACCTTCTTCAACTTGTCCGAGAGGTTCGGGAAGTCATTGGCCTGGTCGAGCTTCGTCCCCACATCCACAGCGCACTGGCAAGCTTGAGCGAATTGAGGGGCCCTCTGTGAGGCCAAGTACCAGGCGGCAGCAACCGTGGACGCGATGGTGACCCCATACGCGATAGCAGCCTTCATGTCACGCGCCTCCGCGTTGGCCGCAATGGCACCGACGGCCAGACTCACAGCGGGCTGGAAGTCCAAACCACCGCTCTGATACGCAGAGACGTGCGTGAAAAACTTGGTCAGCCTGCGAGACGTGGGTAAACAGGTCAGAGAGGGTGTACAAGCATATGATCTGAACATCCGCACTAGTAAAAATCCAAAAACATCCGCGAGGAAACCACACCTGTCTTTGTCGCCGCAGATGGTACGAGACCACATGCATGTCCACAGGCCTTTCGGAAGTCTCTTGGCCAATGCCCATTCCTGGGGTCACGATGGGGGAGTTTCACCTGTTAAACTGTATTATGCTTGTAGGCTGTAGTGGGGTAGCCAATATGGGGTACAACCCCAACTAGGGTTTCATATTTGTACCCAAACTTCTGCTAGTTCATCATTCTTGCCTAGTGATTCTGACATGGTATTCAGAGCAGGAGGTCCCTAGGACCTACCGACCGTTTTTTTAAGGGCCCACCACCGCTCGCTGCGGTTACCACGCTACCCCGTGCCCTAGCCTCGTAGCGCCCTCGTGCGCCCTCGTTAGCGCCCTCGCGCGCCCCTCGTTAGCGCCCTCGCGCGCACCCTCGTTAGCGCCCTCGCGCGCCCCTTCGTTAGCGCCCTCGCGCGCCCCTTGCTAGCGCCCTCGCGCGCCCCTTCACTAGCGCCCTCGCGCGCCCCTCGCCGAGCCGCCCGCTCGCAGCCCGCTCGCCCGCTCGCTGCCCGCTTCGCGGCCCGCTCGCTACGCAGCCCGCCCGCCCGCTCGCTGCCCGCTTCGCGGCCCGCCCGCTTCGCAGCCCGCTCGCTCGCTGCCCGCTTCGCGGCCCGCCCGCTTCGCAGCCTGCTCGCGCGCTGCCCGCTTCGCGGCCCGCCCACTTCGCAGCCCGCCCGCCCGCTCGCTGCCCGCTTCGCGGCCCGCCCGCTTCGCAGCCCGCTCGCCCCGCTGCCCGCTTCGCGGCCCGCCCACTTCGCAGCCCGCCCGCCCGCTAGCTGCCCACTTCGCGGCCCGCCCGCATCGCAGCCCGCTCGCCCCGCTGCCCGCTTCGCAGCCCGCCCGCCCGCCCGCTGCCCGCTTCGCGGCCCGCCCGCCACGCAGCGTCGCCCGCCCGCCGTGCTGCCCGCTTGCAGCGCCGCCTGCCCGCCGCGCTGCCCGCTTCCCGGCCCGTCCGCCGTGCTGCCCGCTCGCAGCATCGCCCTCCCGTCGCGCTGACCGCTTGCAGCGCCGCCTGCCCGTAGCGCCAGCCTCGCCCGCTGCTCTCTATCCGTGCACAGTCGCCTTCCCCTGCTGCGGCAGCTTGCGTTACTCTGTCACACTGTCGCTATGGCTTCCATCCGCGTGCTGTCGTTCGATGCTGAGGGCCGCCCTGTGCGGTTCACCGCTTGGCTAGATGACCTGCAGCTGTTCCTCCTGAGCGATAGCAAGGAACATGTGTCGCTCTATGATTACGCGTCTGGTGCTGCGCCTGCCCCTCCTGCCACAGCTGAGCTTAGTGTTCGTTCCCACTGGCAGACTCGTGACGCAGCTGCTCGCCTAGCCATTCGCAGTCACCTGCCGTTAGCTGAGCTAGAGCATTTTGGCGACTGCAAATCCGCTAAGGCCCTGTACGACGCTGTCGTCGCTCGCTACTCCTCGCCTGCCACAGCCGAGCTTAGCCGCCTCATGCTGCCGTACCTGTTCCCCGATCTGTCCACCTTTACTACAGTCGCCGATCTTATCACCCACCTTCGCACTAGTGATGCTCGCCTGCGTGCCGCCCTTCCCACCGAGTTCTGCGCTAAGAACCCCCCTCCACTGTACTGGACACTCCACTTCATAGTCACCCGTCTCCCTGACACCCTCCGCTCAGTTCGAGACCACTTCCTTGCTCGCTGTCCCACTGAGCTCACAGTCGCCCTCCTAGAGGAGCAGCTGCTCGCGGCCGAAAAGAGCATTGTAGCTGTTGGTGCTGCTCGTGGCGCTCCTCGCACCCCCATCTTTGAGGGGTGTTCTCCCTCTCCCCTCGCTCCCTCCTACGCTGCTGCTGCTGCTGTTGACTTCCTTGGTGCTGAGTCTGTTGGCGCTGCTTCTACTCCTGGTGGGAGGCGCCGCACCGGCAAGGGCAAGGGGGGCAAAAGTGGTGGTGGTGGCACTGGGGGGGGAGGAGGTGGGGGAGGTGGGGGGGGAGGCGGTGCTGGAGGGAGCGGTGGCGGGAGCGCTGGTGGGAGTGGGGTCGGTGGTGGAGACGGGGGCGGCGGAGGAAGCAGTGGCAGTAGTGGCGGCGGCGGCGGTGGCGGCGGTGGCGGTGGTGGCGGTGGTGGCGGTGCCGGTCGGAGCGGTGGTAGTGGTGGCGGCGGAGGTCGGAGTGGAGGCACTGGCTCGGGCCAGAGCTCCCAGCAGCAGCAGCGTCCCCAGACGACCCAGCAGCTTCGTGAGTGGCTTGCTCAGCGTGGGACGTCGGGGGCCAGTGCCCGCTGTTCTTATGTCATTCGCACAGGTGACCGCAAGGGACAGACGTGTGGGAGGTTCCACACCCCGTACCGCTGCTTCTCCCGCCTTGACGACGCTTGGCGTGAGGAGATGGGTGCGGA